TGGTGTTTTCATGCAAATTCTTCTGCTAGTTGGAGTTTAGTCCACTTCTATATCCTTCCCTTCAAGGCTCCAGGGTCCAGGATTATCTTCAGTATCTGTGTTAATTGGTTCCCCTTTTCTTTGTTGAAGAGGGTCTGTGCAGTCTTTCTGCCTATTCTGCCATCTTACCCTGACCTCCCCACTTACAAGCTTTGAGGTGAAACTCATGCTCCTGCAAAATAAACTGTAGTACATTTCAGGGTTATTCAAGCTTTTCAAATAGTTAAAATAGGTCATTGTTAAATCGGTGAATGTCAAAGTTATGCTGTATCTGAGCATTCTTCCTCTTTAAGAAAGAAAAAAATATGTGTTTGTGTGTGTACACATTTCACTGTGCCTTTCTTTATCACAAAGGTATATATGCTCATTGTAGAATTTTGAGAAAAACATCCTCTGTGAGCCCATTAAGAGCCTTAGTGGCACAGTGGTTAAAGTGCATCGCTTCTAACTGAAAGGTCAGTGGTTCAAATCTACCAGCTGCCCATGGGAGAAAGATGTGGCGGTCTGCTTCTGTAAAGACTTTACAGCCTGGAGCAGTTTTATCCTGTCTTACAGGGTCACTGTGGGTCAGAATTGACATGACGATGATAGCTTTGGTATTTTAGAATAAACTCACCATGTAGAAATAACTGTGGTTAAGTATTTTTACATATAAAACCAGCAATTTAAATTTTGTTTCATAACCAGCAGTTGGAACTCTATAATAATAATGATAATTTTCTAACCCATAGAAACTATTGCAAATTGGCAGTGGGTTTTCTGGAGAGGCTCTCTGTGGGCACACATCTACTGATGCAGATTTGGTCCTGGGAACACCCCACCCCCTTGGCTGCGGTGCTGCAGCAGGTGTGGGGCTCCTGAGTCTGTTGCAGCAGCGGAGAGATGTGAGAACACGAAGAGGATGTTTTCATTTTGGCCACCATTTCTAAAATTGACTGAAAATCCAGGCTCAGTTTGTATTGCTTGTTAATGAATTGTCTGCTGGACCTCCTCATGTGTTTTTTTCCTTTTTTGGTTTATTACATTATCACATTGGCTTATCACATGAGAAGGAGAGAACTCTAGGCTATCTGTGTAAATTTTTGCTGTGGGACCACTGGGTGGCCATGCTGCAAGTTCAGATATCTCAGAAAGGCAGGTGGGAAGAAAAATACAAAGGAATAAAATGTTGGAAAACAAGAGGAGGCTGGATGAAGGAGAAAGGGACCTCTTTGTTGGAGAAAGAATGAGGACAGGAAGGGAGTCACAGGGAGGTACCTTTGTTTTCAGAAAAGGAGTTAGGGTGTGGTGGTCAGGTGTGGCTGTAAGGCTTTATGAGCTTGTGGTGCTGCTTGGAAGGCTGAGGAGGCCCGCACTTCCTCCTGGGGAGGCTGCCATGGAGCTGCAGGGGCCTTCTCAGTAGGAGAAGAAACAGAGCATTTTGTGTTGTTTCTCATTTCATATTTTGGTCTCAGAACTGCAAATGAGTTCCTGAGACATGTTGATCTGTTTATTCTTTCAATAATTTCAGTGTCTAAGGGTATCAAAGGAGCTCTGGTAGTGTAGTGCCTAAGGTACTTGATGCTAACCAGAAGGCTGGTGGTTCAAACCCACCAGCCACTCCTTGGAAGGAAGGTTGGGCAGTCTACTTCCTATGATACTTCCTTGGCAACCCAAGGAGGGGTCACTATGAGTCGTTCCGACTCGACGGCACATAACAACAACAGCAACAACTAACTTGTTAGTAACCCTCCTCCAGATGACACATATTTTCACATGCATGGCAGAAGCCCTTTCAGAAGATGGTGAAGTGTTGGAAGAAAGGCTTCCCCACTGTCAGTGGTTTCTGCATCGCAGTGATGTGTGGCCTGGGCAGACGTGGGGAACAGTGTCTTTCTGGTGAATCTTACAACCACCCAGTCAGTGGTTGGAGAGGCTGCGTCTAGAGTATCTTGGAATCGTCATTTCTGCTTCTTGCTGATTTGGGAAAATTTCAAGAAGATGTTGATTTTTAATGTGGAAAGTTGTATTTTTCTTTCCCCTTATCTAATCCCCACCCCCCACTACCACCCCGGAAGGCCACAGCTTTTTCCATGATGTAGCAAAGCCTAGCTGATGAAAGCTCCCAAGATTCCAGCTTCAGAGCTTATAAGCACCATAGTGATCAGTCTGAAAGGATTCATAGTCCCAGTCCATCTGTGATTGAGGCACTGCTCTTTATAGTCAGAGACATGGAATTTGGAGGCTTCTGAGGATAGTATCATTCTAAGTTTGCAAATTTGGGTTTAGTGTCTGAGATTTGCTTCAGGATATGCAATGCTATACAATATACCCTCTGGTAGTAACCATCCTTGACATAAAATAGCAAGTTGGCAGTGTTGTATTCATGGGATCTATTAGGACAAAGGGAACTCCGGTGGTATAGTGCCTAAGGCATTTGACTGCTAACCAGAAAGCTGGCAGTTCAAACCTACCAGCCACTCCTCGGAAAGAAGATTGGGCAATCTACTTCCGTAGTGATAGAGCTTCGGAAACCCAAGGAAGGGTCGCTATGAGTCTGATCCAACTTGATGGCAGTGAGTTAGTTTGTATTAGGACAAAGTTGGAAGGAGAAGAGTCACTGTCAACTGAGTGGTTGGAAAAGGCTAAAAGAAAGAAGTGAGAATGAAGTTGAGCTGGGGGAAGCAGGTGTGGAGTACATATTTCAGTTATTGGTATCAGTGAGCAAAGGCTTTGACTCCATGTTTGACCTTATCCACTCACTCTTTACACAGCTATGTTTGTCCATCCTCAATTTTTCAAACTAAAGAAAAGCAAAGGAATAATTAATAATAATTAACACAAAAGTCTGGGGGAGGGGAGGGGACCGGGAAGTGGCACATAAGAACCTGCTAAGGTGGCTTCTGCAGCACCACGGGGCGGGGGTGTCCCAGAGGTCCAGGCTCCCCAGGGACTAGTTGTTGTTGTTGTTGTTGTTTGCCGTCGAGTCGGCCCCGACTCATAGCGACCCCTCCTTGGGTTTCCGAGGCAGTATCACTACAGAAGTAGGA